GCAAAGGCGTCTGTTTCAGGCAAGGAAAGGCCATGGGGCACAGTGAGGGGCAGCCAGGGAGGAGCGTCCTCGAGGCAGAGTGTGGCCCCTGCCTCACACCAGCCCTGTGAGGTCACTGGTCTGGGGAAATAGCCAGGATGTCTTTCTCTGTCCCAGAGTAACACATCACCAGGCGGGTGGCCTGGCTCGGGCAGCCCTGTCTCATCACAGTGCCCAGCCGTGTCCGGGCCTCCAGTGGGCCTCCAGTCTGGTCGTCCCAGTTGGACTCTCTGAACCAGGGCCTCCGTGCCACACGGGGTGCCTTCCAGGGGCACTCTGTAGACAGCCAGGCCAGGGCAGAAGTCGTCCTGCCTGTGCCTCCAGGGGGTCCAGGCTGCCATCCCTCCTCTCCAAGGAGCCCCCCAGGCTGCACTGGCCACTAGGCAGGGCCAAGGCCTGCTGCCCGCGGCGTCGACAGAAAACGTGACCGACTGCAGCCTGGGATTCGAACCCAGGGGCGCCAGGCCCTGAAGCCTGCCTTTGAGTGCACATGGCTCCCCTAAGGGTTCTCTGCAAAGGGACCAGGCTGGCCACGCCCAAGGACTCGCTCCCAGGCCTCACCCCAGTGAACAGAGGACCTGGTGACCAACAAGACTATGCCAGCATGACACTGAGACCGATGGAAGGGACAGGATGGCACAGAAGCCAGGAGGCTTCCCCGCAGGCCAGGGACGCAGGGGCTGTGGCAGGAGGGGCCTGGCAGCCTAGCCAGAGCCTGTTTGGACGTGGGGCACATGGGCTGGCTGCCAGTGTGCCCTGCGCTCAGCCCAGCACCACCAAAGGAGAGAGAGGCCCAGGAGAGCAGGAAGCAGACGCAGCCTCAGGGACCGGAGCGCTTGTGAGGGGCGGGGGTCTCACACTCCTCTGGGAACGAGCACGTGGGGACGTCTGCAGAGGGCTGGGTGGGGCTGGCCACCCACAGACACAGAGCAGCTCCACTCAGACATGTCAGGTCAGGGGTAGAACGTGACACAGGTGGCCAAAGTGGGGGTCCAGGGACCGAGGTCAGGGGGAGCACAGGACCCCATCACAGACACGTGATCCCGTGTCGGGAGAACCAGGGTGCTGCTGCTTCAGCGCTGGCCCTGCCTTCTGGCCCGAGTGGCCATCGCTGTGGTCAGCTCCCCGTGTGCACATCTAAGCCTGAGCTGAGCACTGCCCATACGGGGGCAGCACCACCTGATATGCTGCTGCTCCAGCCTGGACACCTGGAGAGGAACACTGCGAACTCAGGAGGGTCCAGACAGACAGGAGCAGGCCAGGGAAGGCAGAGCGCCGCCCAGTCCTGGGCGGGTGTGGCCAAGAGACTGCCCCAGGCTCCCCGCGGAGCTCCTGAGAGGAGCTGGGAGGGAAGTGGAGGGAGCCCCAGGGCATGGCAAGACAGCGCAGGGACGGAACAGGAGGGCCAGGCCAGCACGTGGGGACCAGGGCCACGGTGGTGCCAGCCCCGCGCAGCAGAGGGCCAGGAGAATCCCAGACCGCGCCCCTGACTGCAGGGAAGCTGCGTGCAGGCCGACAGGTGAAAAGCAAAGTCGCATCAGCGGCGTCACCGAGTCCTTGCAGGATGTGGGGACAAGGGAGCTCCAGGCTGCGGGAGAGGGCAGCTGGCCGCGGCTGGCTGGGCCACCAACCGCTCCAGTGAGACAGACTCTGGAACCTCTGAGGGTGAAAGTGGTTTACAACCCTGAACTGCACATCCGGCCAGACCCCTGGTGGGGCCGAGGCCCAGTGGACCGGCAGGTGCTCAGGGTCTGCTCACCCGTGAGGCCTCTCGGGCCAAGGAAGGTGCGAGCGGAAGTTCAGGGGAGTCTGCAGAGTCCAGGCTGGGAGGCAGCACCCGGGCAGGGCTGGGCACGGCCAGGAGGGCAGGCTGCGGGACTCAGGGCAGACGAAGAACAGCAGGGGTGCAAGGGGCACAGTCAGACTCCAGGAGGGACCACCACCTGGAGGAGGCGTTGCTCCCGACTCCCACTCAGAAGTGACGGCCCCAGTCCAGAGCTGCAGGAGGGAGGCTGAGGCCAGATCTGGTCAGGCTGGGCAAGGAGGTGGGGCCATTGGTTCTGTGGCCAGTGGCAACGTGCAGAGCTGGTGGCGAGGACAGTGCCCGGTGAGGCCACTGTCCAGAGCTGCCGAGGGAACAGCAGCCCAGGGCACGTCCCACCGAGGGACCGCAGGGGTCTTGTCAGAGGTTGATAAAGGATCACAGAGGAAGGGCCATGAGGTAGAGAGGTCTCAACTCAAGCACAACTGAGCGTGAACATGGACAGGGGAGCCCAGGAAGGGACACCGAGGACAGGGAGCGGACACTCCGCGCGGCCTCATCGCCCGGAAGTGCTTTTCAGCAGCAAGGGGAGATCTCCACGGGTCTGAGTTTCTAGAGTCCAGAGGGGCCGCGTCCTGGCGGGAAAGGAGTCAGGGGACAGCTGTAGATAGAAACCGCCACCAGGTCAGAGCCGTCACTCTCCCTGTCTCCCTGGGCGTTGTTACTTTCCATGTCCTTCAGAGGGTGGGGACGGCGCTCAGCTGTGGGTGGGGCCGGGCTGGTCCCTTCTGTGCTGTCCCCTGCCTTCCCTCTGGTGAGGCCTGGGCTGCAATGACAAAAGTCCACCTGCGGCGGGGGGTGGGGACATTGACCAGGGAACAGCAGCCCAGGGCACGTCCCACCGAGGGACTGCAGGGGGTCTTGTCAGAAGCAGTGGGGACATTGCAGGTACCACCGCAGACGCAGACGTCTCCACGCGTGGCAGGGGGCAGTGGGGACAGTGTGGGTACTACTGCGGTCATCTCCACGGGTGGGCACCGTTGTGGATAAGGGAAGTTCCCTGGGGCCCACTGTCCATGTCCTTCAGAAGGAAATTCCAGAGTGTGGGCAGGTCTAAAAGGGCCCTGGGGGCTTCAGGAACAGAGAGAAAGCCCCGGTGAAGACCCGGGCAGGAAGCCCTGCTGCCGGGCGGAGGCTCAGCCACGAGAGCCAGAGGAGGCGCAGCGTCGCTGGGGACATGGCCCCAGAAAGAAGAGGGAGACAGAAATCAGAACAAGTCCCTCAAGAGAAAATAAGGCAGGCCAGCAGCCTCCACCCAGGGACACAGTGACACTAAAGGAAGGGAGCAGAGGATGCGGTGTGGGGTGCCGTGTGGGAAGGATGCGGGGCTGAAGGCAACTCTGCAGCCACGAGGGACCCTGGCTTGTGGGAAGGAGCACTGGCCCCAGGGGGGAGGCTAGCTGGGCAGCCTCAGGAGCAGGAGCCGTGCACACAGGGACGTGAGTGAGGGGTCCCTACACACAAGGCTGAACCACCCTCCTTGAAACAAGACGCCACCACAGGCTCCTAAAGCAAAGCCAACCAGTCGGGCAGTGGCCACGCCTGTCATCCCAGCCACCTGGGAGGCCAAGGCCGGAGGCTCACAAATACCAGGCCAGCCTGGGCAGCTTAGCAGGAATGTGTCCAGATACAGATCAGAGTGCCCAGGCCTGGCTCAGTGGTGGAGCCCTCTCCTAGCGCACCCTGTGCCACAAAGCTCTGAAACACAAGGACAGGAGCACAGGTTGGAAACTGCAAAAGGTATCAGACAAGATGATCTCGAGAGAGAGGCGCCTGTGGCCAAGTTGGACCTGAGGTGGCTAGGGCTCAAGCCCCGCACTCGAAGCTGCCTCGAAACATTAAACCAACCTCGTCACCAGCCACAGGACACTTTCACAGGCTGTTGTGGGGAGGATGCCCTGCCTGTCCAAGAGAGGGCAGGGAGGCCAAGCCAAGTGGACATTAGGCTCTGGAATGAGGGGTGCGCTGTTGGGTGCTGGTGCCCATGAGCGCCAGGCTCATCATCCTCTCGCCACGTGGAATCCAGTTTCCACCTGAGTGGACCTAGGTGCCTGGTCTTGCGGCAGGACTAGGTTTTTTCCACTTTTTTCATTTTGGTTTGATACTGGGCACCCTACCACTGAGCTGCACCTCAACCCTTCTTATTTTTTTTTTAAATATTTATTTTTTTAGTTGTAGTTGGACACAATACCTTTATTTGATTGTATGTGGTGCTGAGGATCCAACCCAGGGCCCCACGCTTGCCGGGCGAGCGCACTACCACTGAGCCACAACGCCAGCCCCTCCCCTTCTTATTTTTTACTGTGAGGCAGGATCTTATTAAGTTGCCCAGGTTGGCCTCCAACTTGTAATCCTCTTGCCTTAGCCTCCCAAGGAGCTGAGATTACAGAGGTGTGCCACCATGTCCAGCAGGATGGGGGTCTTTTCTGTCCAGGGTCCTGGTAAGCACCCAGGATGTCCTGCCAAGGAACAGAGGGGCTGGGGGGCATAAGCACTGAAAACCCCTGGAGTCCCCAGGAGTATGGGGGCAGATGGAGGGACGAGAGGGCCACAGGAGAGGGCTGACAGCTGCCCCCGGCCCAGCGCCCTGAGCAGCTGTTTGAAGTACGTGAACAGGAGGGAAACAAGCTCAGAGACCAAGGCACCTACCCGGTGACAGAGCGACTCGGGCAGAGCCAGGGCTGAGTGTGGCCTCCCCTTTCAGAGGCAGGAGGAAGGGGAGGAGCTGGCCTGCCCTGGAGGGGGGACAGGCAACCAGAGGACCTGGCCCTGATCTGTCAGAGCCTTGACATCTGTGGCTCGGGCAGGTCTGAGGCCACCCGGGGCAGAGGAGCCAGCAGGCCACCAGGTGAGCTAGCGTCCCTTAAACAGGGCTGGCTGCAGCCTCGGTGTGCTTGTCCTCAGCCTGGACGGCAGTGCCAGCCCCCGGGTCTCCAAGCATCCATTCTACCCCCTCAGAGGGTAGGCGCTGGTTACTCATTGAACACACGAGCTGTAAAGGTGAACCCGGGGCCGTAACCACCCGGAGCAAAGGCCTCTGTGCTCCTGCTGGCAGGTGGAGGGCGGCTGTCCTCAGTTGGCACAGGTCAGCCGGGACAGACACCCAGGCAACGTGGAAGCAGATCCCCGGGGCCTTGCGATGTGGACCAGCTGGTGGCTCTGGCCCCTGGTGGCCGTCTGTGCTGCAGACTCATTCCGGAACGAGGCGGAGAGGATCATGCGGGACCTGCCTCTCGTCGATGGGTGAGTGACCGCCTGCCTCGGCAGGGCCCACACGCAGTGGGAGCCTCGGTTTCTCCGAAGCGTGGCCTCTGCCCTTCACTGGGCTGAACTTCGTGGAGTCTCCCAGGGCCCCCAAGGGCCTCAGCAGAGGGGCCTATAGGCTGGGCAGGCGGAGGCAGTGGCCAGACGCCCAGCTCCTGGGGCTCCTGGGGCTCCGAGCTGGTGATACAGAGCCCTGCAGCCTGACTCCATCTCTGTGTGTCCAGGTAACGAGGCAGTGTCCCCTGCCTGGGCCTCAGATTCCCTGAAAGCTGCAGGTAAGGGTGGAGTCCAGCCACTCCATGGACATTTGTCTGGCTCTTCCCCCAAACACCGCCAGACCCCGATGCCTCCCTCTCAGCCTCATGGAACACAGGGTGCCCCTCTGCTGCTGCGTGTCCCTCTGACCTCCCTGCTGCCCTCCAGCCTCAGCAGGCGGCTTAGAGCCTCTCTCCTGCCTCCAAGGATGAGGCCCCCTCTGGCTGTCCCTTTACCGCCACGCTGGGTCACCAGGTACACCTCTAATGAACATGCCCTCCCGACCCCGGGGCCCTGAGGCCCCTGTGCCCGGGTCCTGTGCCGTCATCACCTTCCTGGGTGCTGCGGCCACGCTTCCCACTGTCCCTGCACTGCAGCTGGGCTCTGGCTGCTGGGCCCTCCCCGATCTGTGAAGGTGACTCTCCCCACCTCCCAGCTTAGTTGCATCCAGGGTCTAGGTTCGGCAGGGTCACGGGGGCCTAATGGATGCTGCGCTAGCCTCTGCTCCGGAGGCACCTCTGTGGGAAGATAAGGGAAGCCCAGACGCCTCCTACCCGGCTCCAGGGAGCAGAGGCCACTCAGGAAAGGAGGGCAGGCTACCATGGGCCAGTGGTGTCCCTTCCCCACATTCCCTGCTGCCCTCTGGCCAGCTTGTCTGGGTCTCCTGCCAGTGCAGAGGACCAGGGCCCCAGGTCCCTGTTATGGAAGGAAGTGACCCAGGCCCCCCTGGGCACGCCAGGCGGGGGAGGCTGCAGAGGACTCCACTGTAGGGCACGGGAGCCAGGGAACGTTTCTCCCTTCTAGGGGGCAGAGGGCAGCTGGGCAGAAAGAGGGGCTGAGTTCAGGAGGGGGCTGTCCAGAGCCCACATGAGGATAAGGTGGCCTAGAGAGGGACAGAATGCCAGGGAGCTGGGCTTGGGGGTCTGGGGTGGTCCAAAGAGGGAGGGAGCCAGGACCAGTCTAAGTAGAATCAGACCACTAGTCCTGACCAGTCCACATTAGCTGCACTGACCACTGGGAGACCCAAACAAGTGGTCCCAACAGCAGAGAAGCCCAGGGGGGTCCTGCCATGGCACCCCTGTGCAGGACTCAGTGAGGCCGCCGTTCCCACCGCTGCCTCAGGGGCAAGCCAACCGCCGTCTGCCAAGGATAGTTTCTGGGATCTGTCACAGGACAGAAGTCAGCCACATGGCCACACCCAGCGTCTCTGCTCCAGTGGGCCATGTGCCTGCCAGCATTGTGGGGCATTGTTCCCAGGAAAAACAGGAAGCCAGCAAGGGCCCCAGCATCTCTCCCGGAAGCTCTCTTCCCCTTGCTGGGACCCCACCCAGGACCCCTGAATAAGGAGAGTATGTCAACTGCCTGGAACTGCAATTTGAGCAGCCATAGGCAGAAGGGCCGGGCCCTGCCCTCCCCTGCGGGTCCCCTCCTGCAGAGTGGGCAGAGCCTGAGGCCGTGGGGGAGTGAGGGCGGGCAGCCTCCGCTGCCCTCGGCCCCGCCCCGCCCAGGGGGGGACAGACTTCCTCTGCAGGCTGTGCTGCCCTTTCCTGCTGGGAGAGCCCAGGGGCTGTGCCCTCACCCGCCCACTTCTCCTCCGGACAAATGTGTCCTGGTCGCCCCAGGAGGAGCTCGGCCACAGTCCCATCTGCCCAGTCCCTCCCACGTTCATAGAAGTCCTTGATTTTGAAAAATCACACCGTGTGGCAGGTGACCTCTAGGGGCCCAGTGGGGTGCCCAGACCTTTCCTGGGGAGGGACTTTCATCGGCGTGCCCAGGGCGGCTCATTCCCAGGAGTGCACTTGGGTGGGCAGCATGGAGGGGCACCACATTCTGAGACCCTGTGGTGACAGTCGTGCCTGAGGTGTGGCTGTGGCTGACCACAGCCTTGAGGAGGACAGCGGGGACAGTGATCCCCGAGATCACGTGGCCTGTGAGACGGGAAGCATCTTGGTGTGTGTAGTGGTGCTCCGTGGTGTCCACACACGGACTGCTCTCCTCAGAGTGTCCACACGCCGACATTAATGGTCACCCACTTGCCCCAGGCTTCACTCTGAAGATGACACCAAAACGTTCCCATGTGGCTGCCCAGCCAGCTGAGGCACAGAGGGGAGGAGCTGGAAGTTGACAGGGGCCAGTCCTGGGGAAGGGGAAGTGAGGCCTGGAGCCTGGTCACAAGTCGCAGGTCCCAGACAGTAACAGCAAGGTCTGGGGCGCCAGAGTGCCTCCTTAGCTGTCTTGTGCCGATAAACTGGACACGTGCAAGTCCCAGCTCCAGGGATTCCAGGCTACTCCCAGCCTCTGCTGGGGCCCAGGGTCTAGGACTCAGCCCTGGGGCTGCTGGGCCACCAGAGGAGGGCCCTGGCAGAGCTCCCTCAGCTGCCCCTCCTGACACACCCTCTCCCAAGGCCCTAGCCCCACAGCTCCCGGGAGAATCTTGGGGGACCTCAGTCCTGGGGAGGCACAGGAGGATCTGTGGAAATGGGCACAGGACTCTTCCCTAGGGATAGAGTCAGCAGAGGGGCCCTGAACCCCCCAAATCCTGCACCTGATGCTCTGCTCCCTGGAAGAAGGGGGCCAGTTGCACCCCACACCCCAACTTCCTCCTGAAAGGGTGGTTTAATCTTCAGACTGAAAATGGTCAGCCTTATCCAGGTGGCCCCACAGGCACCCACCCCCAGAGACTGGGAGGCGGAGGGTCGCCCGTTCTCTCCTCCTGGAGGTGGGGACTGCCCAGCCACTCCCTGGCCCAGGGGTGGGCCCAGCTGGATGCTCACCTGAGTGCAGCTGTGTTAGGCCTCCATGGCCTGGCTCTAGCCCTGAGTCTGGGAAGCAGGAAGGAGAGAGTGGACAGCTGTGGCCCAGGAATCAGAAGCCCCACCTTCAAGTGGCCACTCTGACTACTGGACCCCTTCCTGGCTCCCCAGGCACAATGACCTGCCCTGGCAGCTGCTGAATCTGTTCAACAACCAGCTGCTGGACAAGAGGGCCAACCTGACCACACTGGCTGACACCCACACCAACATCCCCAAGCTGAAGGCTGGCTTTGTGGGGGGCCAGGTACGCACCCCCACTGGCAGCCCCATCCCCTGGGGGCCTGGCTGAGGCCTGGCCTTGCCGGTGGTGGGGTGGCCTCCGGGTCCAGTGGGCCCCGGGCTCGTGCAGCTTCCAGGAGGGATGGGGGACCAGATGCCCGAGGCCCGGTGCCACCAGCTCCTGCCCCCTGTCCCTCCAGTTCTGGTCTGCGTATCTACCTTGTGAGACTCAGAACAAGGACGTGGTGAAGAGGACGCTGGAGCAGATGGACGTCATTAACCGCATGTGCCAGATGTACCCCGAAGACTTCGTGTGTGTCACCAGTAGTGAAGGTGGGCCCTGGCTGGCCTGAGCCTCCAGCTAGGCTTGGTGGTGGAGGGGCAGGGGCAGGCGTGGGAGGTGTGGTGCCGCTCGGGTGCAAGCGCAGTGCCCCTCCACCCTGGCTCTCCTCAGGCATCCGGCAGGCCTTCAGGGAGGGGAAGGTGGCCAGCCTGATCGGTGTGGAGGGCGGCCACTCCATCGACAGCAGCCTGGGTGTCCTGCGGGCACTCTATCACCTGGGGATGCGATACATGACCCTCACTCACAACTGCAACACACCCTGGTAAGGGTCCCCACTGTGGCCACTGAGGTCAGGAGGTAGGACCAACCCCCCTCCACCACCAACGGTCTCCTTCACCTCCTGGGAGTCCCAGGCCTAGCCTTGTCTGCCAGGCAGGTGTGGCAGGCCCGGACCCCTACCTAAGACACCTGCTCTTTCTCCAGGGCTGACAACTGGCTGGTGGATGACGGAGTTGACAAGGCTCAGAGCCAAGGGCTGTCAGACTTTGGGCAGGTGAGGGGGTGGGGGAAGTGCCACAGTTCCCTGGGAGAAGGCAGAGGTCCAGGGAGAATAGCCAGGACAGGTGCCTAACCCTCAGGACCTTGGTTTCCTTGTCCAGAAAATGCAGCTAGCTTACCCAGGGCTGGGCTCATGGAGCCCCCTGGCCTTCAGAGTGCTGATCCTGAGGCCCCCAACTTCCAGCCGCTGAGGGTCAAGTGACACCAGACTCAACTCCCAGGCCTTGGCCTTGGGTGCAGGGAATGGCCCCACCCTGGGCTTGGCTTTGGGTGCTGGGAGTGGCCCCGTCCTGTCCTCGACTTTGGATGCTGGGAGTGGGCCCACCCTGTTCTTGGCCTTGGGTGCTGGAAATGGCCCAGCCCTGTCTCCCACAGCAAGTCGTGAAGGAGATGAACCGCCTGGGCATCATGATTGACCTGGCTCATGTGTCAGTGGCCACCATGAAGGCTGCTCTGAAGCTGTCCAAGGCACCAGTCATCTTCAGCCACTCCTCGGCCTACAGCCTGTGTAGGCATGCCCGGAACGTGCCAGACGATGTGCTCCAGATGGTGGTGAGGGGCTGGGGTGTGGTGGGAGTCCCAGCCTGTCGCCCAGCGGGTCCTCCCCAACTCAGCCTCCCCTCTCCCCGGGGCAGAAGGAGACAGGCAGCCTGGTGATGGTGAACTTCTACAACTACTTTGTCTCCTGCTCTGAGGGTGCCAACCTGTCCCAGGTGGCTGGTAGGTGGGGGTGTGAACCTCCCTGGGGGAGGCTCAGGGCAGGGCCTGGCTCAGGGCCCAACACTTGCCCTTCCCACCAACAGACCACCTGGACCACGTGAAGAAAGTGGCAGGAGCCGGAGCCGTGGGCTTTGGCGGGGACTATGACGGTGTTACCAGGTAAGGGCTGTGACCTCGTCCCATCGGGGGCTCAGGAGGGAAAGCATGTCCTGGGTGCAGCAGAATCCAGTTCTCTTGTCCTGGACACAGGCTCCCGGTGGGGCTGGAGGACGTTTCTAAGTACCCAGACCTGATTGCGGAGCTGCTCAGGAGGCAGTGGACAGAGGAAGAGGTCAGGGGTGCACTGGCTAACAACCTGCTGAGAGTCTTCGAGGAAGTGGAGAAGGTGAGGACAGGGTGGCTACCTATGTCCTTCCCGCCCCCTCCTGTCTGCCCCTGCCAGGCAGGCTGCCCAGCCCATCTGTCCCCAGGTGAGCAACCACAGCGAAACTCCAGAGGAGACACCCATCCCACTGGACCAGCTGGGCGGCTCCTGTAGGACTCAGTATGGCTACTCAGAAGCCCCCGGCCTCCATCACCAGCCAGGGGCCCTGCTGGCATTCCTGGTACCTCTGCTCTTCAGCCTGCAGCCCCTGTGACTCTTCTGGGATCAAGGAAGACAGGCTGGCCTAAGAGCACAAGGCCCAACCTCTCCTGTGCAAGCAGCTGGGATTGCTGGTGGGAGGGGGACAGCCCAGGACAGCCCACAGTAGACTCAATAAAAGCAACAGCCCCTTGAGAACCAAGGTGTGTGTTGTCAGACCCTAGGCCCTGGAGGGGCTGCTCCTGAGCACATGGAGCACAGATCTATGAGAACAGAACCTGAGTCCTGGTGGGTACGGGCCAGAGGGAGCCCAGAACCTCTGAAAAAGGGCTATGCAGACATTGTTTATGGTCTTTTAAAAAATACAGTCCAGCTGGGCACAGTGATACACGCTGTCATCTCAACGACTTGGGAGGCTGAGGCAGGAGGATCACAAGTTCTGGGCCAGCCTCAGCAACTTAGCAAGACCCTGTCTCAAAACAAAAACTGAAAAAGGCTGGGGATGTAGCTAAGTGATTGAGCACCCGGAGTTCAACCTCCAGTACCAAACAAGCAAACAAAAGACCATCATGGTCCAGGAGGCTCCATGACTACCTCCCCACATGGCCTCTGTGTACACATCTAGTCTGACACTCATGCACACGCACATGCTTGTACACAGACATACCTGCCACCCACCGCCAGCAGGTGTGGTTCTGCAGAGCTGAGAGGAGGCCCAGGAACTTGCCTTTGTAAATAATTCCCTTGGCTCAGCCTCTTTGGATAGGTGGGACCATGAGGTCTGAGCAGAGGGGCTCCAGGGCCCTGCAAGGTCATCATGCATTTTGAACAGCAGACCTGCAAGGACAGAGGAGGTCTCAGCTGACCTGCCCAGCACTGACCTCTTTATCAGGCAGACAGGCTCAGAGCCTTCCCATGAGACCACTGGGGTGTGCCAAGGTGATAAATCTCAGGAGGAAGGAACAGCACAGGGCAAGACCCAGGCATAGCACCGCTGCACCTTCTGGCCAGAGCTGCAGGCCGCTCCCCCTGGACCCATTGGCAGACCTCTGCCCAGCACCTCAGGCCCCACCCAGCCCACAGGGTGCCCGGTCCTTTCCATCTGACTTCCCTGGGAGAAGACCAGGTAGAGGGTGACCAAAGCCCTTGGGGGCTGAGTGCAGGGTCATCTGATCGGGTCTGGAGTCCTCCACATGCCACATGCCACATGCCACAGTGGGGGCAAGCAGGCCCGTGCCTAGGGATGGAGCCACTGGCACAGAACGCAGCTCAGTCGCCTCTTTGCCTGTACGGCACATCCAGAGGAGCAGTGGTCTACCAGGGATCCAGGCATTCTGAAGGGGCATTTGCTGATGACTTAGGGTCAACGTAATGTGAAAGGGGAAAAGAGTCCAGCAGGGGTTCTGTCCAGAGTTCTGCAGAGGCATGACCCTCACTTGGCTAGCTGGGGAGTGCGTTCTCACAAGCAAGGCAGCAAGCCCTGAGCTGAGGTCACCCTGCCACCCTGACGACTCAGGCTGAGGCACGAGGATCCAGGCTTCGGGCCAGTCACAGCAACTCAGCAGGATCCCCCTCAAGATAAAACTAAAGGGCTGGGGTTGTGGCTCAGCGGTAGAGTGGTTGTCTCACACGTGTGAGGCCCTGGGTTTGATCCTCAGCACCACATAAAAATAAAAAGTAAAAACGATATTGTGTCCATCTACAACTAGAAAAATATTAAAAAATAAAAAAAACCAAAGCTAAGGAGGCTGGGGGTGTGGCTCAGTGGCAGAGCACCACTGGCTCATCCTGTGCTGCAGAGAAAGAACTGCTGCCATGCTGGCTCCAGAGGCCCAACCCACATTAGGGTCTCACCGCAGCACCCGGAGGAACACACCTGCCTGCCCTCCAGGCACTTCTGATTTGGAGAGCGCTTCCTGCTCACCACCTTACTTTTCGGTCATCCCTCATCCTGATGATGTGGTGTGGGCTGAGACAGGAACAGGGCAGTGGGTGCAGAGGGCTTACCCCGTGTGCAGAGTGAGCCGGTCTCACCTCACTGCAGGAATCCCCCCTGCCTCGGGCCTCCTACTCAGTCATAGGGCCCTACTAGCATCTGGCAGGACTATAGTGTTCCAACTAGTGACCACACCCCAGTCAGCCTGCCTTCAGGCAGCCTGACCTCCAGATACCCTGTGCTTGTGCAGGTGACCACCACATGCGCTTGCACGCCCTTTGGCTGCAGGGCGAGATGGTAGAGAAGCTGGGCGGGGCCCCACATCGGGCGCCCCCTTGCAGCCAACCCCTGCTTTGGGAGGTTCGTCTCTAGCCAGCACAAGCCGCGGCTGCCGGGCTGCACCGAGCTAGCCCCAGCACACTGTCTCTGTGCTCTTTCAATAGAGCACTTCCTTTCTTGTTATCATCTGACTCACCTTCAAGTTCTTTCCTGTGACGTGGTCAAGAACCTGAAAAGATCTGCGTGGAGACCTCCTTAAACCCCTGCCTCTTCCGTAACGTGCAGGCCTTTCCAGAGCACCCACCAGGGGTGGGGAAGTCCTGAGAACAGGCTGCAGAGGCGGCTTGGGTGCAGGCGGGTTTCTTGGCTGTGCCCTGGCAGGGTGGCACCTGCCAGCTCTCTCCTTGAAGGACCTGAATCTGGCTGTCCCAAGCTCCTGCCAGGACAAGACGGAGGCCACAGGAGATGTGGCTGGAAGCAATGGGGCTTCTGGGGCAGGGGCAGGTCCCCTCTCCTCTGCAGGCACAGTGCAGGGTGGGAAGGCTCCCACAATGGAATGCAGATGAAGGGATTTACCAGAAAGATGACCGCCACCCTGAGAGGGCATGGGGAACGAGGCTGGTGTTCACCCAGAGGGGAACGCCCTCTGCTGGCAAGGGGTGTGGTCGCACTCCCCACTGAGAGGTGGACGTGAGGGCCAGGCTCGCACTGCAAGATGACACAAACAGGAACTGGACGGGCATGCAGAGGGGCCTGTGTCTGCTCTAGCAGCAAGGTGCCTCCCGGCAGCATGCTGAAGGCTTCAGGTAGTGATGGGAACTGGGCTTCTCAGACCAAAGCAAAGCTCAAGCAGATTACAGGCATCAATTTATTTACTTACAACAGCATTTTAGGAAAAAGGCAAACACCCACCCTCCTCTGGTGAACCAGCCCCAGCACCCCTGCAGGCCAGTGCAACCCACACCTCTGCACCTCAGTGCACCTGCAGTGGGGCTCTGGGAGCTCCCTGAGGCTGTTCCCCAGGAGACATCAGCTCTTCTCTCAACACCCAGCATGCAGGTCAATTTCCAGAGTCCCAGTGGGACCACAACCAGACAGTGCCTTGACCAACCCCATTCGGAACAACCAATGCTACCCCTTCCCCCAGCACCACCCACTGTATGGATACCAGGGCTCCACGTCCAGAACAGAACCCAGGGCAGTGTGCTCTGGTCAGTTGCCACATCGCTGAACTTGAACATGGGTCTTTTGGGTGGGCAACACTGGTCCCCCACACCCATGCTGAGAAAACTAGGACCCGGCTTTCTACTTTGGCAAAAAAACCAAAACAAACAAACAAAAAAAACCCCCCAAACCCTAAGAACTTTGATGGCATTAAGTAAACTTTAGGAAACAGAAAAAACAAGACAGCAGCTGGTGCCCAGCCCTCGAGGCCTCCCCGCACGTCTCACGTGGCTCCCGCAGCAGCCCTCTAAGAGCCTGCAGTGGCCCTGGAGACAGCTGTCCCAGCTCCCTTCCACAGCCACTCTGGCATCCAAGCTGAGGAGGCAGGTGGGGCAGTGGCCAGGGGAGTGCCCGCTAATTTACAGTGAAAGACAAAACTGTGGCACCCACTGAGGAGTGGGAGGCACTGGCAAAGGCCCTAGGAAAGAGGTCATGTGGCTGGAGGAGCCTGGAGCTCTGGTGGGCGCTGTGGGAGACAGGGCTCAGGCCCAGTGGCCCAAGGCACCTCCAGAGGCAGCTGCCCAGCAAGGATGAGAACCCCAGGTAGGCACACCTGGACCTGGACCTGCACGACTGTTCTGTCCGGGGGACTGGGCACCTCTAAGAACCGAGGGAGGCGAGGGCAGAGGCCCCAGCAGGGCTCAGGCAGCTGGCAGTATGGTCAAGATCTCAGCCCTGAACCACAGAAGGTGGTCGTCATCTGTGAATGCCCAGCAGAGTGTCAGCGGTGCTGGACACAGGTCCACAGGCACCTTCTTGTGGCCGGCTGTCTGTCAAAGGGGAGGCCTCCAGGAGCTGCCTGGCACAGGGGTGGCCCCAATCCCCACTGGCTGACAGTAGGCAGCAGGGGTGCAGCCCCTGGAGCGTGAGGGCCCCACAGCACTGGGCTCAAGCCCACACACATCCTTTGGCCAGTCCCATCAACTGTGCACAGTGAAGGACCGAGGCAGCATGCCAGGCTCCAGGGTCCGCCCGAGTCACAAAGCTACCCACACCAGTGTGCACAAACTCAACACCAGGATGCAGACCCACTGTCCAACCTAAGAGGAACAGGATCAGCTCTGAGTCCACCCTGGCCCGGCAGGCAGCAGGAGCTGAGAGGCCATGGCTGCCGGCTGCAGCTCTGCAGGATCAGAAGGTGAGAGACAGTGGGGAGGAAGGACAGGAGCCTCCAGCACATCACAGAGCAGGGGAGCCAGTGCACGTCGGGGCGCAGTTAATTCCTCAAGGCAGCCAACCTGGGAAGCCAACGGAGGGTCACGTGAGACAAGAAAGGCAAGGGCCAGCGGAGCACTGTGTCCACATGCCAGATGCCCTGCCCCGAGCTCATGCCCTGTCCTGTCTCAGCTTCCTAAGGTCACCCTGAGACAACAGGAGTAGAACATCAGAAAACAGCCGAGTCCTGGGGACGGGACCCAAGGGTGCTCTACCGCTGAAGTACATCTCCAGCCCTCTTGACTTTGAGAGACAGGGTCTCAAAGAGGCTGGTCTCAGATTTGTGATTCTCCTGTCTGAGCCTCCCAAGTAGCTTTGATCACAGGTGTGTACAACTGCATTCAGCCAAGATTCCGCTTCTGAAGTGAGCTGTGTACACACAGACCTGTGATGCCACATCGGACACCAACTGCCTTCTATGCAGGGCTGGCCACAGGCAGATGAAGAGGAGACACGTGTGAGAGCCCAGACAGGAGCGTTCCTTGAGCTGAAGATCCACCA